TTCAAAGTGTGGTGACAACAAAAAAGTGATTTTGTAGTTGTTTATACTATTTTTAATCTATACTAATAAAGCAAGTAAATTTTGATTTTATCGAATGTGAATGCTTGTATGGGATTAATGATTCCCCCCATTTCCATATATTTTAATGATCAAATAATAATCTAGTTAATTTCATGTATTTTTTATTATTGATAACGCTAGTGTGTTAAATGCTCTTTTCCAAGATTTATCAACTTATGATTAACATGATCCGATCTTATTCCTAATTCGAATTTATCTGAAAACCATTCATTTAGATTATGGTATCTACGTGATTGCATATGCCATAGATAATATTCTTAATATATGTTGTCCATGTGCTGAATTACAGCATTATAAACTTATTGTGAGTATTCCTATACTATAACAAGTAATTAATTATTCAATTGATGGGCAAACAATTAAGTAGTGAAATGGAAAAGGAAAATCAATCAAGAAATAGCAAGAAATCTATAAATCAAAGTCTTAAATTGAAATAAAAAAAAAAAAAGGTTCCTCACTCATCCAATACAATTGAAAAATTAACCTAACATGTGTAAAATTAAATTACAAAAGAAAAATTGGAAAATCATCACCCGAAAGGAAGAAATAATGAAGAAATAGAATTTTCCACGTTCTTGACCTGAATCTTGAATTCGGATGAAGAATCTTCAATATCCTTGCAATTTGCCCTGACTCCACGTTGTTAGCCCTGCTCGTCGCCTCCAAAATACGTAGAATAAGTGAATTTTTAGGTCAAAGGAAGGTCTTTCACGTTTTGGACGACTTATGGTATATATAGAGTGTCAAAAGATTGCATACAAAAAGTTTTCAAGTCAAAATAAGAAAACACAAATTTTCTTAAAATTAAACCATGCTTAAGCATGGTTCATTTGGTGCGTAAGCACAATGCATATGATTTGGTCTTAAGAGTGAATTTTTGGAACCTTGCGTATGCAAGGCCTACATGGCCATGCGTAAGCATAGTACAACTTTTGGGGACCAATTTTGCAATTTGGTCCTAGAACTTTCTCACATATGTGTTTTGATCCCTTTCCAAAATTTCTCGTCCCGTTGACTTCTTTTCGATTCCAATTGACTTTTGGCATTCTCAAATTATCGTTCTGCAATCTGACTAAACTTTTAAAGTATTGCATTTTAGTCCCCAAACTTTGTATTTGATTCAATCAAGCCATTTTCTCTTGTAATCTTGTTCATTTATTTTTTAATTGTATCCAATTAAATTTTCGACATCTTTGATCTTCATTTTATCGCACGTCTCATCTATGGATTGTTTGCAATTTAGTTCTTGACTTTTGAATTTTGCCATTTTTTTCACTATTTTGGCATTCTTTTATCCAATTATTCATCAAACATCGAGTTTTACCTATTTGACACAATATAACATGAATTAGGCTATATTTCATTAGAAAAATTACAAAATACCATTATTTAAGTCCTTGAATAAGTGTATAAAATATACTTATCAGACTCTATTCACCATCATCTAATAAGTTGGCCGATGTTTTTAGACTAAATGGCATGGCTGTATAGTAATACGTCCTGAAATCAGTGATAAAGGGCTTCTTTCCTAATCTGACTTGACCATAGAAATTTGGTGATACCTAGAAAAAAGATAGAAATTTGAGTCTTTCATGACTCAATGTGGCATCCACCAGCTAGTCTATTAGGGAAAACGGGTATAATTCTTTTGGATACACCTTATTCACCTTGGTGTAGTCTACACAAATATGCCATTTTTCGTTCGATTTCTTTACAAGCACAACATTTGCCAACCACTCAGGTATACACTTCTCGGATGAAACCTCTACCTTCAATAATTTCTCAACTTCCACTTTTGTTGCAACTTGCCTTTTTGAGGGCAAAGTTTCTTTTCTTCTGCTTCACTAGCTTGGCCTTTGGTAGAATACTAATATGGTGATGGGTGACTATGGCTTTGATCCCTGGGATATAGCCAGACATCTTACGAGTTCTTCCTTTTCATCGGATTTCAAATTTGCTCCAATACTAACTAGCACCCCTTTGATATCAAAGTTTTTTCGATCATGTTGAGTGGCTCGATTCGTCCCCTTGAGGCTCTACATCCAATATCACAACTGATGGTAAACATTTCTCATGTATGCTGTTAATGTAGCATTTCCTCGATACATGTTGATCCTCTTTACACACCTCTACTAGTCGGAAACTTTATGACCTGATGATAATTTGAGGAAACAACACTAACAATGCTTAGCAATGGTCGACCATAGATGGTGCTGTAGGCCATAGGTGTTTTGACAACTAAAAAACTTGTCATATTCACAACAATCGTTGGTTAAGTGTCCAGCATGACCGAAAGCTCCATAGTTTTCTCTGGATAAGTCCAACATGATCGTTGGCAGACACTATTTTCAATTTCTTAGGAGAGATTTTCAAACCCAAAAATATATCCCAATGGGAAACATTTGTTGAACTCTCTCCATCGATCAACACCCTCTTATCACCAAATCTTGCTATGCCGCATACCACCTCTAGGGCATCATCATCGGGGCTTGTTACGCCAACAAGTTTTCTTAATCAAAAGTGATAATATGATTAAATCTTATCTTCTTTTGGATAGAGCAGATCCTAAAGGAGCTTGCATAGCTCTTCCTAGTCGAATTTGTGTCTTAGCCTGCTACTATTCCACAAATGATCAAGTTTCATTCCAGCTTTAGTTAGGGAACGACCTTCAACTTTTTCCTTACCTTTTTCATTTCTCACACGCTTGGTTAAGAACCCCCATCATAGAAGTCACTCGATCTCTTCCTTGAGCTTCATGTAATCTTCAGTATCACGTTCGTGAAATGGTAATATTTACTTTCATTGCTTTTGTTGGAAGACATTAACATCGATTTTCGCCATTTGAGTTCCTTCATATCTTATACCTCAATCAACAACTTTGTTCACAGAGTGTTCAAAGGGGTGAAGGCCTTGACCTCATCTCGCTTTTGCCTGGTCAATCGATCTGAGCGTATCCCTTATTTGTACGCTCATTTTTTGGTTCATTTTTGTTAGTGGGTGTTCGCTCATCAATTGACTTTCGCTTGTGACTTTTTGGCTCACATCATTCTCTAAGATTTTTTTGTGACCTTCTCTGCCTCTCCAATGTTAACATACTAGTCTCCCTTCTTTACCAAGTCATGCATTGATTTTAGGGGTTTTGGATAGTGACATTTTAAAGACTCGATTTCACATTTCATTCATTAACACGGTTACTACTGCTGACATTTGAAGGTCCTTTATTCTAAGTGTTGCTCAGCTAAACCTGGCCAAGTATTTACGTAAGGGTTCCTCATTTTCTTGTACAACCTGCATCAATCTAATGGCCGTCTTCCTCTTCTTCTTGCTTCATAAGAAATAAGCCACAAAAACTCCTAGAGAGCTCATCAAATGTTTTGATAGATCATGGTTTCAAAGTTGTTAACCCATCTTTAGCTTCTTACTTTAGCATTAGGAGAAAAGACCGACACATCATTACTTCGAGGATGCATAGAGTCTTGTCAAATTAACGAAGATCCGTAGATGATCAAGAGGATTCGTGATTCCATCGTATGCCTCCATCATAGGCTTTTTGAAGCCTTTCGGTAAAGGGACTGCCATGATCTCGGGTAAAATTTCAAAAGATTTGTTATATGTATTTTTAAGTTTGAAATTCATCCAAATATTTTAAAATCCCGTTATTAATGTTTTTTTTTTATTTCAAATCCACTAGTTATCAAGGATACCTAAAATTTAAAGGATTTTATAGAAATTCATTAAATTTTTGAGTTGGGGACACCTAAATTTTAATGAATTTCTTTAAAAATCTAATAAAAGCTCAATTAGGATTACCTAAATTTAGAAGAATTTTTGAAATTCATTAAAATCTCAGTTGAGGACGCTTCCTTAATAAACATTTTCACATAAGTCATTTCAAAATACGCTATTACTTGACAATGTTTGTGCAATGTACAAAATTCAATTAAAATTATCAAGAAGCTAAAAGGTCTAGCAACATGACTCAAAATGGTGGAGACTAAAAATCACGGAAAGAGGAGAAAAATTAAAACATCGAAAAATAAATTACAGCTTGAGAAGAAATGATTTTTCTTAATAAATCTTGTTCGATCCATAAATGAGGCATGTTAGACCTTGTAATTTAACTATTGACAATGCTTAAATTCTTCTACCCTTAAAATGAATTGCCATGAAAAATACTAATTAAATACATAACTATATAGAATCAAGAAATTGCAATCCACATATGGAACATCATAGCCAAAAAGGTACATAATAGCCCAATTTATGAATATATTAAGTTCAATTCCTACAAATTATATAAAAAGGGAAATACCATACGTACAAGGGTATGTTTTACATAATTTTTACATAATACTCACATGAGATGGGCCCCCGTGTGATTAAAATATTATCAAAATATCATTGTCCATATAAAAAAACTCGAATTACAAAGAATTAATGCTTGATTAATCAACTTTCACCACAATTCTAATTTGAACTTTTTAACTCATAGAAAACCCAAATTACAAAGATTAATGATACTAACATTTGAAATGTAACAATCTAATATGAGGAGAGGCAAAATAATAAGATCCAACCTTGATTTCTTAGTGATAGAGTCTAGAATTTTAGACAAATTAAATTAATATCAAAATTAGACTTTTAGATATTATTTTTTTAGCCAACCTATAAATTGTAAACAAAGTATTATATAAAAAATCGATTCCATTCGAGTACTCACGATTTTTTGGAACATGGCCGAAACCTTAGATTTGGAATCGATTTGGGTTCGAAAGATTCGGATTCAATTAAAAATGCTCAAACTTACCATTGTCATTCGGTTCAATCAAAAACCTGTCCAAAAAATAAATTAATTAATTAATTAATTAATTAATAAATAACACCTTCCAGTTCCAGATTTTATTAATTTTCTTTCCAAGGCTGTATTTATTAACTATATGACTATAAAGTGATAATAGATCGGTTGTCTGCGGCTGTGCTTATATGCACACACACATACATACATTTTAGATCCATAATAACGGCTATTTCACCGCTTAAAGGTTGAGATTTGGGATTCTGATTAAAGACAACCATCATTTCAGTTTTCCTTTATTTTCTAGTTCTGGGTTGTCATTTGCTGTTTATATTTGCTTGCTGAGTGAAGAAACGCACAAAAAATGAACCACGATAATGCCAAGTAAGTTGAGTTTTTCTTTGTTTTAGGGCAGTGGACTAACGGTTTGGCCTTGGGTTTGTGTCGATTTTTTTGTGTCAATGCTGAGTACTGTGAGATGCTGCCGATTTTTAATTTGTTTTGTAGCGGAAATTCACTTGCAATGGATTGTGAAAGATTGAAATGCTGATAAAAATTATATTGGTCATGCTTGATTTTGAGTTTTCCTTTTACTAAGACTGCTGTTATTCTGCTTGAATTGAGTGAGTAAATTATTACGACGCAATGAATTGTGTTGTGTCTTCTTGTCCCTTTTTTTTTTTTTTTTGTCGAGGTGAGGGTTGTGGGGGGCGTAACTTATTTTTTATTTTTTGTCTGTTCATTTTTCTCGGTATCAAGTATTATAAAATTAATAAAAATTTAAAATACAAACTACTACAATTGCATGCCATTTTCTTGATTTTGGGTGTCTGGATGACCTCTTCATTTTGTGGTTTGAAACTCTGGATTTTTGTTGGTTTATCTATTGTGAAACGGAGCTTGAATATAACTCCTATCTCTTGAATACGTATAGGTATATGTACATTTTCTTTTCGATTTAAATTCCTGGCACTGTACATTGCATTTTAAACTTTGGCCTTCCTGTATTAATTGCTTATAATGTCAAAATGTCACAGTAACACATGGGATTGGCAAAGTCAGAATTATATTCTTGAAGATAGTACCTGTATTGGTGAGTCTTACACCAGTCTTCAAGTTCAGGGCTATAGTAGTGTGTTTAATGAAGTGAGGTTGTTGATGTTGAACTCCTCTTGCTTTGTTGAGCAGATGTGTCTAAATGCCTATTGAATGGAGTGAACCAAAATGAAAATTTCTCTTATATCTTTGAGGATGAAGCTACTCCAGTTAAGGCTTGCGGAGATTTGGCTTACCATGTGACCAACTACGGTAGATTATTACTTCTTTACAAATATATCGCTGTTTTGATACCTGTTCATCACTTATGCTATAGCTTTCTCAATCTTTTTCTTGATGAAAATGTTTTTGCAAATTAGCCGTTTATCTTGAAATTGCTTGGAAGATGTATGTACAAGTCTTGGAAACATTCAAATACATATTTATATATTCAATGAAGGTAACATTAAAATATTGTTTGTGTTGGGACAAGTGATTCTGAACGTATAGATGAATCTCTGCTATTTACCAAATCTTATACTTGCTAAAAAAGATTTTATGTATTTACCGTTGTTTGGTATGTACTTCCTGATTAACATTAAGTTTGATATGTAAACTCATCTTGAAAGTCATTTGATTGCATGAATTACAGCAACTGCAGGCAAAGAGTTAGAGCAATACAGGGAGCCTTCTTCACAAGTAAAAAGGCGTCGCACGCTACAGTTTGAGTCTGAGGTTCTGGATGCACCCCTTGGCAATGATGAGGCATTTTTGAGATCTCAGGTTGGTGTCAACTTACTCTTTTCCTTTGAAGCATGCATCTATTCATTTAATTCTGGTTTAACATTTCTACTTCCATAAAGGATCTTGTATATAGGATTGAATTGGTGCTATTCTAATACTTCCATTGCTTTCCAAGCAATACAATGTCTTCTATCATAGGATTGATTGATGCTATTCTAATACTTCCACTGCATTACAAGAAGCCAAATATCATCTATTTCACTTTGCTCAGTAAGCACTTTGTAGTTTCAGTTGTTTCTAGTTGTTTACCTTTTCATGTTGTGAAACTTTATTAGTCCACGAGTAAAGTATCCTGTTGGTCTTTTTACACAGGCATTTGTTTTGAGCTGGCAAAGTGATGGATCAAATAGTGCGAGGAAAAAAGATTCATATACCTAGACACAAATTTGTATAGAAAAGGCGTAGTATTTTTTTTCCCCCTGGTCGAGTTTCCCAGTTGTGATATAATTTTGCAAAATTCTGCTGATTCTGAATCATCTTACAGAACAAAATTATTGAATATTTCCACCATAACCTTCATCTAAGTAGTTGGGACCTTCAGTCTCGTCCAAACAATGGCAAGACATCAACTGAGTCCTGGCCTGGCTTGAATTCTTCTCTGAATGATTCAACTTGAAAAGTATAGCATGCTAGTAGCTATAACGATTTGCATATTGGGCTTGGGCCTGATTGCTCATCTCACCTCTTGAGACTTTTCTGGCCTTCAGCTTCTGTTCTGCTTTGTTTTTATTTTTGGGACAAGTCATTTGTACACCAAAAGTGTACATCATCTTTGACATCAGCTGAGTTAGCAAGATTTGATTGGTGAAAAAATTGTTTATTTTTTAAAACTGTCCAATAGTGTGGTACCACGTGGCACCATGTAAAAAATGATGTAAATGTAGCATGATTAGTTATTTTTTGTCCATGCTGTGCCCCCTTTTTAGAAGACCAATTACTTAAGGTCCATTGTTTGCCTGGTGGGCATCAACCTGCATTTCCCATTCCATCCCTGATGGATTCCTTGGTTTACAACCTGGATTTTTGGCCCAAATTATATCCGAAAGTCCTATTCAAGATTACGATACGAATTTGTCTTTACTTCAGCACTCTCTCTCTCTCCCCCCAAAAGCTTGGCTAAAACAGTAATTCTCCCTTACATATTGGTCAATTTAACATTGAAGAAGCTCCTCTAACTCCTTTCGATCTTTGAATATTATGATACAAATGATTTACAAGAGGGTTTTTTCCATCATCTAGATTTAACTACGGAAGGGTTTAAAAAAATGTGGAGCTTCCTAATAAAAATTTACCTAGATCACATCAGTGTTGGTGTAACGGGGTGTTCTCTTTATAAGTCACCAAATTAAGCATTCTGGTGCTCCTGTTAACCATGTTTTCTGACGTTGCTGTTGCCGTTATTTTCGTTTTCTTTATACTTTCACCAAAGTGAGCTATGCACTGGCTCTCCAAGTGACTAGTTTTCTGAATGATGAGTTATCTAGCATCGCTAAATGTGCTAATAGGCAATAATTAAATTTCTCTCTGTTTCCATGTTTAGGAGACCCAGGATTCTCTTGAAGAGGCTATGTCTGAAATGTCACAGTGGGTTGCTGGATTTGCAGGTTTGTTTCTTGTAATTTTTGCTTTGAAATAAAGTTGAACCAGATTTATCATTTATGTATATGATTCCAACTAAAAATTATGATATTTTCTTTAAGAAGGTACGTCTGCTTCCAGTAACGAGTGCTTGGATCCGGCATCTGAAGGATGGATTTCTGATTGCTTCAATGATGCTGAGATGCTGTTCAACACTGACGATCTGTATGTTATTTTTAGCTTTTTGCCTTCAGATTCCTTATTGTCTTGTGAAAACTAGTTATTCTGACTAGTTTATTGTGGAAAACAGTAGTAGTGCATCGGGGGCATCTGATGTTCCAATTGACATTACAGGCATGTCAAAATATTCTCCATTAATATGGCATGATTTTGTTATTGCTTTCTGTTCAACTATGTCCGTTGCCCCCTTTTTAAAATGGATACTGCTCTATTGCAGAGTTGTGCAACTCCCCTCCTGAATATCAAAGTAAGACAGTTCAAAAACAACCTGCTCTAACTCGTGGAAATGTTGTTCTCAGAGGTAATTTGTCTTTTATTTTATTATTCACTATCCTTGATAATGTAGGAAGTCCCATTTTCTCGAGTATATATGACATTATTTTGATTTGTATTTAATGGTTACCGTTATACTGACTTGCTTTGTAACCGAATGCGTTGGTTCCTCTCTCTTTCTCATTTTTTGTTTTTACCGTCAAATGATCAGGTAAGAAATCATATATTCGGAGTCCTCCAAAACTGGCTTCTACGGTCGTCTATCCATTTGCCTTTGTCAAACCATGTGGTATGCATGGAGACCTGACTTTGAAGGACATAAACCAAAAGATCCATACTCCACCTTCAATCCCAGAGGAAAAAGATCCTTCTCTCTCTTTTCCCACATCTGCAATTACCGGGAAGCCTGTGGTCGGGAAAACTAAGATTCGCACTGAAGGTGGAAAAGGCAGCATTACAATTATGAGAACCAAGGGATAACTACACGGGTAAATATTTCTCGTGTTTTTTCTGTATTAGACACAATGGATCAAGCGTAAAAGCTAATTTCTGGTCAATGTTGATGGAGTTCATAATCGTCCGATATGTTGTCCACATGACTTTCATCGTTCATGCCTTTATGTGTAATTGGCGTGATTTAGTAGTCTTCAGGATCTTGATACCCTTCCGGTTTAGTAAAAGGAAAGAACAACATTGTTCCTGATTTAATTGTGCGAGTGGGTGATATATCTTTTTATTTTTTGACTCCAGTGAATGTAATCCCTCAGCCTTCTTGTGCTGGGAATTGAATTTTATTGTCTTCTTGAATTTTGGGTAAATTTCTTCTGAACTTGATTTTGTCTCAATTGAATCACTGGATTTCAATTTAGAAATCAGTAATCACATTGATTTGCCAGATGTTAAGGACGAAGTTTTAAATAAGTTGATATCTGTTTTTATATTATTTTAATGCTTATTAGTTCTTACCTAAAACAAGGTTCGCTTCATAGCATCGACAGCCACTTTTGGACCAGGTCATCCATTTTGACACTTCTGACTCTAACGATACAAGTTAGAAGAATATGAGAGAATATACCTCCCGGACAAACACGCTAGAATAAAAATTCCCCACACGCGACATCGACCACCACCATCTCCATCTAAAGTTTTTGCTCTCTAACCAACCCATCGTTCGTCGGATCTGAGTTCCTAAGGTTCAATATAGTCCAGTTTTTCCATCCTCGAATTCAAAACCACCACCACCACCAGCATGGACGCTCAACAGTGCACCACTACTATGACTCCACTCGCCACCAATGTACTACCATCACAATCACCGTATTCACCAATGGCAAATTCCAAATTCATATTTTTTTTATTTTTGAACCATCTTGCTGCAAAATGGCGCGTGGTTATAGAGTTTCAAGGGTTGATCGTATTGCATAAGGGCTTTCGATGCTATGAGAGTCATGTCAATGAATTGGTTTTTGAATCTCGTCGATGAGCTCTGCTGAATTTTGTTCACATATTTAGATTTGAAATTTGATTTCTTTGAATTTTTCCAGATTTCTTGAATGCTTTTAATGGTTTTTTTATGAATTAATTTAATGTTGATGTTGGTGATTTTGCGAGGTGATAGTATAGCAACAAATGTTAGAAAGTATTGTAACAATGAATGTTACGAGTAGTAGAATTGCATAATAACAAATGTTACAAATAGTTGTAAGACAGACGATGGTGGTGGTATAACACTAAATATTACAAGTGGTGGTGGCGGCGACTATGACGACAGTTGAAATAGACCAAAAAATGTGTAACTCACTGTGTTACAATTGATGGTTGCGACGTTGATGGTGGAAATAGGGTAGTGAAATGTGTTGCAAAATTTATATGAACAAAATAAAATAATAAAACAAATAAAATCGTATTTTGAGGAAAAAAAATTGAAAAATAAGTATGGGATAGTAATTTTATTTTAATTTTTTTGGTTTTTATATGTTACGAATTCTAATTTGTCTCCACTAGTGGATCAAAGTGCAAAATCACCAGTACTCATATGTTAAATATCAGTTCTTAGGGTGAGTGCATAAACATATATCTACAATATATTAAAGGAATGATTGAGGAAAAATTGTTGAATTTCAATTATACCCTCACATATTTAGCTATATGTCCAATATACCCTAATATAATTTTAGTTTTGTCACTACTCAATTAATAACATTAATTCAATTTATTCAACATGAAACTAAAAATTCCTTTCCTTTTCCATTTGTCAATAATTCCCAAAATTAATCATTTTGATATTACATTAATTTAATTTATATATTTAGCTATATGCCCAATTTATACTTATTTAATTTTTTTAATAATTAATTAATAACATTAATTCAATTTATTCAACATGGAATTAAAAAAATCATTTCCTTTCCATTTGTCAATAATTCCCAAAATTAATTTTTTTGATATTACATTAAGTTTTATTGATAACATTAATTCAATTTATTCAATATGAGATTGAAAAATAGGTGTTTAAGGAAATCAAATGACTTTCTTAAATTCCCCTTTTCAGATTATAAAAATAAATGTAAAAACTAATAATTAAGGGCGAAGTGACGGTTAGGTGGATATAGAGAGTATAGTTGTTTATTTGCCTTAACATATTTGCAACATCAATCGAGATGTCTCCCTTAAGAATTTGAAAGAAATTTGTAACATTTTTCAGATTTATTTAAAATTTGATTTTTTCTGCATTAAATATTAGAGAAGAATTTTTTTTTTGGAATCGGCTCATTAATAATTAAAGTGCTATAGTCGACTTTTATTTATGCTTTGAATGTCTTTCTTCTTTAGAGAAAAATATGTTATTAGGATAATGAAATTTTCATTTTCGATCATTGAATTAGTTTGGTCTCTAGTATAATTCAACTTCAAAAGATACTTAGTAAATTATGTTTTATATGGCTTGTAAAATTATTTAAAAGTTTTAATAACTACTTTAATTGCTCAGTTGATTTTGTTTTTAAATTTTTTAATTGTTCTAATGTTAAATAAATTAAATCAATGAACTTTCATTTTTAATGGAGTCTCTTTCTCAATAAATTTGAGGTTTTTTTCTTCCCAATTTTATTATTATTTATTTTTTTTTTTGTGAAAATGAATAAAATAAAGAGGTGTTATAATGATTGAGGCCCATATTATATGATTCATAACCATGTAGTGCATTACTGAGATATATCATTATTTTAATATCAACTATTAAAAAAGAGATTATTTTGGGTTGCACGCGTTTGAAATCTAAAAGCTCTTTAGTTTGTATTTCAATTTGAGTTTTGAGTTCATTTTCAATTTTCTATTTTCAGGGTCCATTTTAATATTAATAAAAAGTAAAAAAAATGCATTTGATTTGTCATTTTGAAAATTATTTTTCAAAATAGAAAACTAAAAAAGATGTTTGGTTTGAAATTAAAATATTTTTATGATATTTTATTCAATAAAATTTGATTATTCAATAAATATAGAACTATTTTATGTTTGGTTTGAATCTTATAATATTTTTTCTCGTGACATAAGTAAAATATAAACAAATAATAAATCGATTTCAAAATATAGGAAATAAAAATAAAAAATTTAGAAGGAAATAATTTTCAATACGTCTATATTTTACAATGGTCATTAACAAGATTAAAGGACAAACAGTGCATACTATTGGAATATATTTTCGTGACTATGTAATCTTTAATGAGCAGTTATATGTCATACCTTTTTATAGGGTTTCAATGCAACAAGAAATTTTTTAATAAAAGCAGAAAATAAAAAGAAGAAAAGCTGAGACGATGACAACAAATATTGTCTACAAAGAGAGTTATTATAATCAAAATATTACATTTTCGTTCATTTAACATTTTCACACTATATACAAAATTTTAATCATTTTTATTCTTTTGAACAATTTTAATTTTTTTTTATAATAATATCAGTTATCTCAATTACTTTTTTGAACTGTATCAATTCTTCAAAAATGTTACACATATCATTCATCATATATATAAAATGTGTAACGCATGTGCTTACTATTTGTACATATATGAGTATCAGCACTTATTACACTACTTATTGTAATGTGCCACGTCTCTCTCTCTCTCTCTCTCTCTCTCTCTCTCTCTGAGATATAGTTGTGATAATCGAGTTATATAGGATTTTGTGGTCGAAAAGCTACTATTAATTGGCAAAAATAAGTATTATATTTTTGAAGTAAAGACATTAAAAAGTTTATTTGTTCTTTAATATGTGTTTAGCCGTTTCTCACGATAACTCATGTACATGTTGAGAAGAGCTAGACATAATAATAACTGAAGTAACTAAAACGTCAATTTTATGTCTATTCATATAATTTGCAAAGGTGACGTGCTCTCAGAAGAAGTAACTAAAACAACTTCAAACACGATGAAGCAACTTTTAACTCATATAATATATAAAAATTAATAGGTTGTAAGTCAAGTTTATAAAGTCGTCTAAAATTTAACTCAGAAAAATTCATTGTCGACTATCATTAAGTGTCCATCTGGAAGTGGCCAAAATAATAAATCACTTGTACAAGAATGTCTGGTCACTATTATTTAAATTGAATAATTATGTCTCCCTATCCATGGCTGGAAAAAATATTGTTTTTATATGATTTAAATATAAGGATCCGCCGGCCTCCGGCGATACCTACTACACTTAATTGGTGAATTGTTAGACTTTAAAAAAAATTATTGTCTTTTATGCTTTGAAAATTTTACCCTTCAACTTATTTTTGCAGTGTCGATTAAATTATGTGTCAACGTTCTCAACAATTTAAATTGCATTTGTTTTACGGGCATTAATCACGCGTGGCCTATATAGAAAAATTCTATTTAATTCTCAATCGTATTTCAAATTTGAAACGAAACTTATTATCTCGTTGAAACTTTATAAAAATTTAACATACATAATTATTTTATGAATTTAACTACAAATGACTTCTTACTAATAGGAAAATTATCGATTTTTAAATAATCACCCTAGTGACAAGTATAACGGAATATCTTATTTATTAAATAACAATACTCGGCTTTTAAAAGTAAAATCATATTTCGTAATGAACTTGAAAGGCCGACTTATGCCATGTAACATAATTCTAGATCAAATTGTAATTAATAGATTGAAATAGTGATCATCTAAGAACATTAAATTTGAATATAACCATCTGAGCATAACAACATATTATCGATAATTGATTTTTCTTGTGCATAAAGTTTTATAAAAAATTATGTTAATGTTATGAAAAGAAAGAAAAAGGGAAGAGAATATAAGAGCCAAACTCAAGTATATATTATTAAAAACCAATGTTCTATATTTTATAGGGTCTAAAATAAGAGTTACGATTGAAATGAAATAGATCTTATAAACTAGATAAGACTTATTTATGTACCATGATAATACTAAATAATCATCAATAATTATTTCATTATTTTATGACACTCCCTTTTGATGATTATTTTTGGCAAAAAAATCTTATGGGACAAAAATGTCAACAAATGAAAAAATAGTATAAATATTTTGGAGTATTAAAATGCCGCATCATTAAAACCTTGTCAAGAAAATCTAATGGGACAAATCTTGATCGAAGGAAAAAAAAGGTACAGCTACTCCCCCATGATTTCAATTCTTGTATTAAGCTATTCATGTCTCATACATCAATGCCTTCAACTTAAATCTCTCTTATGTAGAAGTCAAGAGTTCGAATCCTGTGGGACGTGAAGAAAACCGTGAGGGCCCGCTTTTTTTTTGTAATTATCCGGACATTTCGCTCAAGCCGTTAGCTTATGTACCCGCTTCGAGTGGGCCTTGCGCCCACTTACCTCTCACGACTTTCTTCGCGTCCTCCAGGATTCGAACTCTTGACCTCTACATTAGAGAGACTTAAGTTGAATCCTGGTATCAATTGGACAAGTTGCCCAATTGGTACAAGGATTCAACTTAAGTCTCTCTTATGTAGAGGTCAAGAGTTCGAATTTTGGGGGACGCGATAGAAAGTCGTGAGGAGTCTTCAAATAACATCATTTTCATACGAAATATTTATCATTCTCTAGTAAATTCAATTTTGCTAGGATCACTACAGATTTCTCTAGTAAATTCTTTGATTAAGATCGAGTCATTTTATTTGACCAATCATCACTTTCATCAATGACGAATTTGTTTTGATATTCATGATATGATGCAGTACGTCACGTGTAAAAGCGTGTCCACAACTTTTTTCGATTCTATTTCTTTTTTCATAATGACATACTTATTGAGATATCTTAAATTTTATTATTTCAGATACCTAAACCTCTTATGAAATTTTAAAATTTGTTACTCATTAATTGGAATCGAGCACTATCACATTTCAGATGTGGCATAAAATATATTAAATATAATTTCAATAAATTGTCCTCATAGGACATCAATTCGTATTAGAACATTTAAAATTGGTGCGTACTATATTGATCTCTTTGGTCACTAAATTATATTTCGAACACTATGCAAGCATATAGTATATGTATCAAATCCATTAGATATAAATAATATTTAGATGATCAACATGGAGAATGATATGGCTTCATTTATTATCTTGATTAATTTTCAGAAATATAGGGAATTCATTTCCTATTTTAACTAATGATGATTAATGAAAAAAATTCATGAAAAAAAACAAACATCATATAGGATTTCATTGGATTGCAAAATCTTCTCATTCTTCTTTGAATATCCATTCGAATTTTAATTTTGCACCATTATTAATCCAGTGAGGATCCAACTGGTCATGCGAATCAAATTGAACTTCTGGTTCAATATAAAATATAATTTAGTTACTTAATTTTAAAAAATATGATTAAACATTATATAATCATATAATGATTAATGTCCACATGACATAAATCATATATTTTCCTTCAGGGATAAATACAGATTCATAAATTACATATAATATATTCTTCAAAATATGTACTCGTATTTTATTACCGCTTCTTTAAGAGCAATGTCAATATTCTTATGAAATATTTGAATCATAGAGTCATGATCTTCAGAACCAATAACATATTATTATTTGATAATAAATTGTAAAAGAATTTCCTCGTTAGGAGTAAAAATATAATTAACATTCAAATGAATTTAATTATACTCTTCGGGAGCAAGTAAAATCTAACTAAAATATTTTTCAATAATTTGCTACTTCAGGAGCAATAATATCCTTTTAGAATATTAAAAATATTGTGCTACTTCAGGAGCACTAGTGAATTATTGTTTAAAAATATTAACTCTTCACGAGTATGTTTTCTAGACAATATTAATGTTAGCAGAGTTGTACCTCTTCGAGAGTATTTTATACTTTACTATTGCTTCTTCAGCAACTATAAAATCAATATCTTTATTTGAAATATTAAAAAATGTAATCCATGCTCTTCATGAGCAATAACATGATAAATTACTAGTTTAGAATTTACAATAAAACATCTAAAATTATTTAATTAAGTCAAAAAAATTATTATCAAACATAGATTATGAATAATTTCAAATATGCACACGATTCCTCAATTGTCAAATGTAAAGGAATCAACACATTACGGTGGTAGACAAATGACAATTAGAAAAGCCATCTAATTTAATGCATGTGTATACAAAATGCATATATATCAATTCACACAAATCGATACAATATTAATGCACACAGATTGATAAGTGTGCAAATGTGATTGTTCAATCAAAATATATGTGGTTTTTTCTCGTGATAGTGCAAACGTGATTGTAAGGGTGTATAATGTTTCATCACGATAGAAGTTGGATACATATAATTGTACAAGCAAAATATAAAAAAATAAAAATCAAGTGACAAAAAACTTGTGCACACAGAAAATTCAAGAAGCGGAAAATTATAGCGCATATTATAAAAAAATTTACATACTACCAAATTAATTTTGGTACACATGATAGATAATTATACTTATAAAAAAAATACCACTTTTACTAAATTTTGAAAAATTAAGTTTTTCGTGCTGATAACGTATTATGAAAGAGAAAAAAAAGAAGATAATATAAGAGTCAAAACTCAAGTGTATATTATTAAGAATCAACACCCTATAGTTATAAGGTCTAAAATAAGAGTTACAATTGAAATGAAATAGATTTTCTAAACTAAATAAGACTTATCTATGTATCATAATATATTAAATAATTATCAATAATCATCTCATTATTTTACAACAGTTAAATAAAAAGAGGAGAAATCAATAAAAAAAATTTGGGAAAAGCAAAATGAAGAGCTAAAATAAAAAGCATAAAATTTTTGACTCTCTAAATTTAATGATATTCTTTATAATGCATAAGATTTTTTTTTAAATAAATATAGAGTCTCTTAAAGTACGCTTAGTAGACCATTATATTTAACTTGAACATATAAAATAATGGAAAATAAACGAAACCTTGTCCCAAATAAAATAAAATAAAAAAATTTCAAATTTGTCTTTGGAAATTGAAATAGATTAAAAGTTGAGCTTTGGAAATTAAATTACAGGGAAAATTCCTTCATAGGTCCTCAGCTTTCATAAGTGTGGCAATCATTTCCCTACCTTCCATTTGTGGCATTAATATCTCCTACATTTTAACATCACGTTTATGGTATCCTTAATAGAATGTCTATTTAGACAAATTTCCAAGGAACACTTATGATATCCGTTTGAAAAAAGAAAAAAAAAAAAAAACGAAAAAAGAATAAAATTTTGTTCAAAAAAAAAGTTTCATTTAGTTTAAAAATCAAATGGTGGTGTTTCTAGATCGATATTTACCCTTTTAGTAAGACATCACTTGCTTGTCATGTGACTATTCATCGTTTAAATAGACATTTTATATCAAATGGAGATGTTTCACACTCGATGTTAAAAAGAGCGAGAAAATGCTTGTTACACTTATTTTTATCGGGGGAGGAATCTGCCCTAAATTAATAGCTTCTGTTAGGGAAGAATTTATATATGGTTAATTTATAAATTTATAAGAAATGATTAATGAATAAGTTGATAGCATTTTTAAATTGATTATGATTGAAAATGATCGTTTAGCTCCATTCTCTTTCATTTTTTCTTTCTTTTATTTTCAATCACACGATTTTCAATTAAATAATATTACACGCAAATTTTTTTTCAATCACATATTTTTTAAAAAAACACCATTTCAAACATTAAAATTTGGGGAAAAAAAAAAATGGGGACGAAATGGAGCGAAGTTTAATTATTCATACATAATTTACAAATTGTTTATAAAAAGTTTGTTGATTTGTATGGGAAGTTGTACTTTTGTTACAGGTAATTTCGTTGGAAGGACATGCACGGAAGAGTACATTTGTATCCTACGATGTTGTCACAGAATCTTCTTTCTCTCTCTCTTCTTTTTCTCTCTCTAGACTACCAAGGAAAGCGAAGGAGAACCCCATAATTTTAGGCATCCCCCGCGCTTCTCTCTAACCGCTCTTTTCATCTCCACACACTTCTCTCTCTTTCTCTCTCTAAATTTCCGAGATATATTGACCAGACATTCCTTCTGAATTTCCCTTTGAATTTCGAAAAGTTATTCTCAGGTCTGGTCAACCTTTCCGGCTCTCCTTTTTTTAATATGGGTTTTGAAGGTAGATTTCTGGGCTTCGTCTTGTTTCTTCAATAAGCGGGCTTGTTCTGAATTTTTTTGGGTGGGTGTATAAGTATTTGGTCTTTATATACAAGAAACTGGGTCAATATCTTAGGGTTTACTTTTTCTCTATTTAAGTGCTTTATTTATTAAGCAAAGGGTTGGTGAGGGCAAATTATTAGCCTTTTGAATTCTTGAAAAGTCAATTAATTTTGTTTATTTCGGTTCGTATATTGGGATCATTTGAAGCTTATATTGAAAAGTATTATTGTAGAAATTTGACAAAAAGGGTTGAATCTTTCTTTTATTGCTTTTTTCTTCTAATTTTGCAAGAATTGATGATGACAAAAAGTTGTTAATTTCTGAAAATTTGATTTTATTGGATTTATGAAGCTGAAATCTTGTTTTTGCCCCAGTTCTTGATTCAGTAATATCTTTGGAAATTTAGGCTCTGTGTTTGTTTGGGTGGAAAATCTTTGGATTCTTTGAAAAATGGATGTGAAAACAAGTGAAGAAGGGGTTGAAGCATCCAAAACTGGGAAACCAGAAAATCATGAGGGATCCTCCAACTTGAAGGGCACAGCAAGTGTTTGTGAAAAAGCCTTGTCCACCAAGAGTCCCGGGAGCATTAGTAGCAAAGATATGATTTTCCGGGCTGATAAAATTGATCTCAAAAGCTTGGATGTTCAGCTTGAGAAACACTTGAGCAGGGTTTGGTCAAAAAATGTAGAGAATCAGAATCAGAGCCATAAGCCTAAGGAAGTGTGGGAAATTGATCCTTCGAAGTTGGAAATTCGATATCTTGTTGCTCAGGGAACCTATGGAACCGTTTATCGCGGTACTTATGATAATCAGGATGTTGCAGGTACACCAATATTTCCCTTTTCGTCAGAATTAATTTTTATCATGATGCTTTATTGAATTTACAAGGAAATGGATGAGATTAGATAAATGTTGGATTTTGGCATATTGAGCAAAGACTTTTTTTTTTTTCCTTTGTGTTGTTCATTGTTTCCCCCCAGTGAAAGTGAGATCATGTGCATTTCTTAGAGGTTCTTTCTGTCATTCCATCGCACCTACTTATCATGCAATTTAGTGAATTTTGTTTCATAACAAATTCTGCAGCCGTCATTATTTAACTATTGTCCTTTCTTATGGAAAACTAATAACTTAATCAGTGGCATAAGTTTTCTCCCTTGTTTATGGGGCGTGGGTACAAATGGGGAATTTGAGGTTGCTGAGCATTATGTTCAATGAGTTGGTTTGGCATAAGATTTTAAGACTAAGATGTTGTGTAGCTAATGATTGATTGGTTCAACCAATAAAAATGAAAGATTTTGCCTTGAGAAAAACACTATATGTGACTTTTACAGACCCAACAACTCGAAGATCATTTGTCTTACACTATTAGCTTATTATATTAATATGAAGTTAGTAGCTATTCTATAGAAGTCCTATAAAATGTTTGGTACTATTGTAGGTTCATCTCAAGGCGCATTTTCAACTTAACCCTGATTTTCAATCCCACAAACATGTGGGTCCAATTGCTCTGCTAATTTTCTAGTTGTGAATCTACTTGGAGGGCTCACTTTTGTTGTGTCCTTATGTTATGCTCTTGCAACAATAGGTGCTTGAATTTGTCTAGTCACAGCCTTTGCAAAGAGTATAATGGTTTGGTGAGATACTGAACAAAACTCAGTATCAAGTGAAACACTAGGATAGTTGTATAGATATTTTGCATAGGAGATTGGATACTGTATTGATCGATATTCATTTGGACATAATTTTCATTAGAGTATGCTACCTTTGACGTTGACAAAATATTATAGACATATTCAACTTGTAATTGTTTGCATGTCAGAATGCTATAACATTTTTTAAATTTTCCCTCTTCCCCCTATATCCATACGAGAAAAAGTTCATCAAAAGTGGCAATCAGATTCGAGTTAACAGAATCAACAATCTTCAAGAGTTGATTTACTTGTTCTCTCAGTGGAATACTTAATGTGGCACCATTTTGCCCTGCAGTGAAATTATTAGACTGGGGAGAGGATGGCATGGCCACAGCTGCCGAAACTGCTGCTCTACGGGCATCATTTAAACAAGAGGTTGCTGTTTGGCACAAGCTCGATCATCCAAATGTCACAAGAGTAAATATCTGATTCCTTGATTTTCGGGTATTTTTGCTTTTTTAGAAATCAGGAAATCCAACTATTCCAGATCAGGATGTGCTTTTTATTTTTGGGAATGGCTCTCACGGACCTTCTGTTTTAGACCAGAGATCTTAATCTTAAATTTCTCAACTTAATGACGACACTTGCTTGCAGTTTGTTGGTGCTTCAATGGGGACTTCACAGCTCAAAATTCCTTCTAAAAATCCTTCTGAGGGTTATTCCGACCTTCCTTCGAGGGCGTGTTGTGTTCTTGTCGAATTTCTTCAAGGAGGGACATTAAAGAACTTCTTGTACAAGAACAGGAAAAAGAAGCTAGCTTTTAAAATTGTTACCCAACTTGCTTTAGATCTATCTAGAGGGTAACTTTCTTGTGGAATTTATTTGAGTTGAAATTCTTTTAGGGAAATATTTACTTATCTCATGTTATTTGCAGACTAAGCTATCTACATTCGAAGAAGATCGTACATCGTGACGTCAAAGCTGAAAACATGTTGTTAGACACTCATAGAACACTTAAAATTGCTGATTTTGGAGTCGCCCGCGTTGAAGCTCAGAATCCCAAGGACATGACTGGTGAAACTGGTACTCTTGGGTACATGGCTCCTGAGGTATTCACACTGTCTCATAGTTTCTTACATAATTCTAGTAAATCACAGCCATAAATATGAGTCAATTAACCCTTTTTTTCCGAATAGATTATACTTTCATGCACACATGTCGTATTATTTCACAATTGAATCAAATTAAAAAAGACCTAAAGCTAGGGATGAATTACAGGCATAAATTATAAATACTTTATTTTGTCATTGATATAAAGAAGCTAATAAGGTATCTTGTCTTTTAAGGTACTTGATGGCAAGCCTTATAACAGAAAATGTGACGTCTACAGCTTTGGCATATGCTTATGGGAAATATATTGTTGTGATCTGCCTTACCCAGATCTTAGCTTTGCTGAGGTTTCTTCTGCAGTTGTCAGACAGGTCAGTTTTGATCACTTCTAGGTTCTGCACACTTTTGCTGTATTGCATTTCCACATACTCTTCTCAATATTTTTCAGTTAACTACTGTATTTAATTGGATATTTGGATATACTTGATGTGGGGAAGCACTTAAACCAAATCTGTCTTATTTCCTGATACGATGTTTATGTAATTTTTATTTATTTCGTGTGATTTGGCATTCTAATAACACTATAAACACGTTATTGACAATGCGTAGATGTGACACTGGAGCATTATGCAAGTTGAGCAACATATTTTAAGTTTACTCTTGAAGCATTTGTTCAGTCAAGCTTGAAATTAAATGGCACATGCACAAAATGATGTGGTCCCTGTTAATCGCCTAAAAGTGTTTAATGAGGAGGAAATGAGAGGAGAGGGAAGCACATAGAGTTACAGACATGATTGGGATGGCTGAAGGATGAGAAGAAGCCGACCTTCACCCTCCATCCTTCACCATATGTATTTAAGAATATTCTTGCTGCCATGTTCTCCAGACCCAGGCATGGTTTTAAGGGACAGAGATGTTTGAGGTTGAATTTTATATAAATTTTGGTAGGAATGGGGCTTGCAGTGGGTTGGTAGAGGAAAAAAGACTACATATGTTATGGATAAAGCCCTAATCCCTACTCAAGAGAATAATAAAATCGGATATAAGAGCTTTGTTCTCTTCGCCTTTTCAGGTTTTTCTCTACAATGGAGAAGGTACAATGAGATCTCATGTCTCACATGGAAAATATGGCCTCCTAAAATGTTTCACATGGGAGGAATATTAGAGCGATCCAATACATGTATGGAATATCCAGATGACTACGGCATATCCCCTTGGGTAGTGGGTTTAGATACGAATGTTATTTACGGACATGAATGTGTGAACGACCTCGTTAGCAAGCCCAAACGGGTTCTCATTTAAAAAAAAAAAAAAAAGGAGTCCTTAACTTTAGGCTTGAGCTGCTTAGTTGGTTAGCTTAGGCATGTGATGGATTAATAGAAGGTTGATCGTATCTGCTCCCCTCTCGCCTTCTTTCCTTTCCGGTGGATTCCAAGGTTTCCTTAGAACAAGGGGGGTGGGGGAGTGGTTGAAAGTTGCTCCATTCATTTTCAGCTGCAGTGAAGGTTAAACAAAAGAAACCCATTTAATTCGTACGATATTGCTGGCAAATCTGGTTGGACCTCTTCGTTAACATCCAGTGGATCAATATTCTAGACAATTATTTAGATTCTGTGCATATGCTTACCCGTGTCTTTAATTTTTGAACAATTTCTTAAATATTAGGCATAGTTTCTGTATGTCACTTGATTTGCTGGTAGAAGCTTGACACCAGTATTCTCTGTTTTGGGCAGAATTTGAGGCCAGAAATTCCACGTTGCTGTCCAAGTTCTCTTGCAAATATCATGAAAAAATGCTGGGATGCAAACCCAGAGAAACGACCTGACATGGACGAGGTTGTGAGGTTGTTGGAGGCAATTGACACGAGCAAAGGAGGTGGAATGATACCGGAAGACCAGGCTGGAGGCTGTTTCTGCTTTGCTCCAACTCGGGGTCCATAAAAATTTTGTTATCTGTTCACACTTCTCTTTCGCTATATGTCTTGGGAGATTTGTTGAGAACTCGTTGAATTTGTCCATGATTTGGAATAACTGGTGAAAAGTTCGAATAACATGTTTGATCTTTTCAAGAAAATATTTGTCTTTACTTCTACTTATTCTCGCGTTTGGTAACATTGTAGTTTGGATCCTATACTTTTACCTGTTGCCTAAACGAACAGAATCTATTTCTATTCTACTCTGTCATGGATAAACTCAAATCCTTGCATGTTTGAATAATAGCAGCTGATTACGAAGGCATTATTGTCAGAATCCAGTTAGGTGCGTGCACGTAATCTTCCAATTCGCTTGAGATAAGTTTCATATTTAGCAACTGCATCAAGTTAGCTAATCTTTTAAACATTGATTCGAGTTTTTTTCCTTTTTTGTTTTTGCTTTTTTTTTGAGAGTCCAGCCCCTTCTCCTTTACTCTATGCCGGGAATATATTCTCTTATGAATATGAATGAATTAGCCTTGCCTTCTAACGTGCGGAATTTATTCAAGAGTCGGGTGTTTGGGAACCTGATAAAGTTTTGTAACCAGTAATTTAATACTTAAGTCACAATCAGTCACTATAATACAAAATATTTTATCATGATTACATACTCGTCACAAATTAGAATCACAAAGAAACAATTTGTGAATCATAATAACAAATTTTAGTCGCAAATCGTTCATTTTATTGGGTTACAAATTAATTATTAATCTTTAATTACCCAATTAAGCGATCACAAAAAACTATTCAATTCACCCCTTGCCACCTCACCTCACCTGATCTCACCCCGACCCCATCTCACCACCGTTGGCATCACCAAATCGCCACAACCACCATCGCATCAAAGTCACAATCTACCACCACCACATTCACCTCGAGTCTACCACCACCATCACCACCAAGCGTCTACAACTAATATGATCTTCATCCAGCTCTCGCTTTTTTGAGTGCCGGCAATGTCCACCTCCCTCCGCATCCATTGCCGACCTGTGCGGGATCCATAGTTCTTTAGGTTAGTATTATTCAGCAACATGGTGTCAAAGCACTCTTTTGTGGCATTTTTGCCAACAAATCCACTTCACTTCTATGCAACCATCACCTCAAATTGACAATCATTAATGCACCTCCAACCCATCACCGCTACCACCACCTGCACCTCAATCCACAACTACCAAATTCCAATAACGATTCAGTCAATTGGTGACAGCGACACGATAGAGAAGCTGAAGAAGCGGTAAAAGCAATGATTTCATTTACTTCACTTAGTCATCGTTTGTTTAGGGTTTGCATAGAGACAGGGATCCATAGTTCTTTAGGTTAGTATTATTCAGCAACATGGTGTCAAAGCACTCTTTTGTGGCATTTTTGCCAACAAATCCACCACCTTCACTTCTATGCAACCATCACCTCAAATTTACAATTATTAATGCACCTCCAACCCATCACCGCTACCACCACGTGCACCTCAATCCACAACTACTAAATTCCAATAACGATTCAGTCAATTGGTGACGGCGACACGATATAGAAGCGGAAGAAGCGGTAAAAGCCATGATTTCGTTTACTTTACTTCGTCATCGTTTGTTTAGGGTTTGTGTAGAGACGGGTAGGGTGATTTGATGTGATACCTTACTTTTAAGGAATTATTTTAAAATTCCAATAGTCTAATTCTTGAATAATTGTTCTTTTTTATAATCTGACTAATTTATTGATTCTATCATTCTTTGATAGCTAGTAATTAATAATTATATCTTTTCTTACAACTTAGAACCATGAACAAGAAAAATCCAATACATCATATGTGGAATCCTAATCTTTAATTTGTTCCAATCAATAATGCACTAAGTTTTCGTGGCAGACCAGAATTGAAATCCTTAATGTCTATTTGTCCAAATGTTACGCATTATTTGACCAATATAACATGGCCACTCTGTACCACTATTTTTTGTTGCCTTTCTATTGAAGATAATATTGATATCGGAATTTAAAAGATATCTAGGATCTACATATAGATTATAGTCACAAAAGTTATAATGAAGTCGAAATAAAATTAACTACGTTTAATTGAAGAAATTAATATAATAATATTAGTTAGATATTGCTTGTAATTCCAATTCGTTGGCCTGGGAGCATCAATCCCCAATACATCAAAGTATTCATTGGAACACGGTTCAGTATGAAATATTGTGCGTTGATAAAGTTAGCCCTCTAGTATTATTCAGTTATTCGAACAAAACTTATTATTCACCGTCTATGTTGATCATGTTATTTCTGGAGTATACATTCCTCATTCGAACAATTCGAAAATAACACATTGACAGAATTACCGAATTATAGACAATCAACAAGATCAGAATTACCAACGGTAAGTCGATTAATAGTCAACCAAGACTAGAAAATGCTTGGAAAAAGCCAACAGTAAAAATTTAAATAAATTTTGTCCAAAAAGATAGCACAATCATCGCAGGAGACTCATCTATAAATTCATCATCGACTGCCATTTTGTTAGAATCATGCATATCCTTCCAAAAGAAATGTGACCATTTACCCATATAGTCCAAGGATTCACCTGCAACCAAACCAGTGCCAGCCGGACGATGGCGATGTGCACGTGTGGGTTTAAAAGAATATTGGTACATCTTGGGACTTAAACTCAATTGCTAAACTTTCACTATATAAACCATCCTAAAGTTTCCTAACTTTTCTATGTAGGATAAATGTTTAGCAATTTCCAATAAATCAAAATTTTCACTAGTTTATAGTTCCAAGTTGGTTACTTTGACATCAAATATTTCATCAATTCTAGATGATTTTCGATAAATAAATATATCACATTAATCATCTCGCGTTAAAATCGAAGTACGGGTCACAATAGAATTGGAGCTCAAAGTTGACCCAATTCACAAATTAAAACCATTCCCAATAGATCATAGATCAAAGAAGTGTTAGAATACGTTCTTCTTAATAGTAGCATTCTTGATTGTTGAATCGCATCATGTGCGTGTCGTGACCATTTGCACTTCAAACTCTTGTAGTAAAATATGGCATTTTGCCAACATGAACCACGTAATTCGTTTTGCTCAGTTAACCATACTAAACACGTTAGCATAACAAGTAACCCAAAAAAAGAGGGTACAAGAAAGTGAGGCTTTTGCCTTTCGTTTCTTTGTCATCTTATCACCTTTCGTTGTCTTATTTCATATGGAAAATAATTTTTGCTCTAAACCAGGCTAGATACATTTAGACAGCAATAATTCAGTCTATATACGTTTTTATCTAAAGTAATGTTATTTACGATCGCTCATTACGACAGTCACTCTACGTGGTACACAAATGACAAGCGGTTATTGGATTCATTAATGTGGTTATTTTTTATTTACTCATTGTGGACATAAAATTGTCATTTTGAAATTTACAATAATGTTTGCTTATATAAGACAGGAGTTTTACTATTCATAGATTCTGCTTTATATGAATTGAATTTTATTATAATAGCAATCAAAAGGAAATTTCAATCAAATTAGACCCCAGACACGCAAGAAAACCAATTATTGGAGTTCTAATCACAATTTATCTGTTTGAGTGACGTGCATTTTACATCTGGTATAAGGTTCCATAAAGGATAAGATCTTGCAACTTATTCGAAAACATTTTTTTATGTTTTATAAAATGCTCGATACGAGATTGTCTGAAGTTTGATAAATAATATTATTAAGTTCATTTTTTATTTTATTTTTCAAAAAATAAAGTTCTGTCAAAGATCTGAATACTTTTTTATTTTGTTTGGTTAGATTTGACAAAATGTATAGATTCGAATGTAAGAAAGTATAAGTAGCGTTAGATATAATTAAAATAGAAAAATAAATAAAGTAATTGAGTTTACTTAGCCTCGTGTCAACCGTTTTTTATAGGGTAATATGTTCTATAACGTAGTCACTAGACTAAAATAACGTAATATCATAAAATTATCATTCTAATAACTTACAATTTCCATAAGCAGTTTTTTGTAATTAATATTATTATCAGAAAAAAATCATGATTGCCATATCATATATAATAAGCTGATTAACATAAAAATAATTATATGTAGCTAAACATATTTTATAATTAAGTATAGTTCTAACATAATTTCATGCATGCTCAGACCTATTCACATAATATTAAATAATTATGAATTGTCATATTTTTCACCTAATCCGAGAAAATCAAAGCTTGGAACTTGGTTTCACCTAGTGGTGGTCTAAGAAACATTAAATCTCATATAAAAGTAATATTTTAACGTAATCATAAATTCAAATTTTAAATTTTAACGTGTACAATACTCAAAAAAATTTTTTTAAGTATCTACAGAAACACAGACCCGCTCTGATAGTATATTGTAATGACTCAAATTTTTTCTTTGCATCATTAGAGTGTTTCGTAAATTAAATCTTTTATAAAAGATAATTATTCTTAAAGGTGAAATAATAATAATTAAAAAGAAATACTTAATTATAAACATTAAATTATTATTCAAAAATTATAATCGTTTCTTTTTTATTATACAATTAGAGATCCATTCCAAACTTCAACGTCTCAAATATTAATCACCTAAAAGGAGGAAAATCATATACAATGAGATAAAATCTCAATAAGTGAGCTACATAAATCATAATATATATTTAAAATTTAAAAATTCTTAACGTACGTAAGGAGACACGTGGATTAGAAACCGAACTTAGGTGACCATAATTCTCGTACATAATAATAACATACACAGGGAGACACAGGAATTAAGAATCATACTTCATTGTTATAATCCCCGTAGTGCTACTAAATTTTGGTCCTTTAAATTTAAAAATATAGGAAGTAAATTACCCAAATGGTCACTTATAAAATGTTTCCACGGGTCACTGAACTTTAAAAATCATCTAATTTATCACTGAACTTTGCAAAAGGTATCCACATGGTCACTGAACTTTAAAAATCACCAATTCATAACTGAATTTTGCAAAAAGGTTTCTTGGGGGGTCACTAAATTTAGTGATCACTAATCAACCTTTTACGAAGTTCAGTGACTCTGTGAAATTTTTTTGCAAAGTTCAGTGATGAATGTGGTAATTTTTTTGCAAAGTTCAGTGATGAATGTGGTAATTTTTAAAGTCAGTAATTCCGTGGAAACCTTTTACAAAGTTCAGTGATGAATTTGGTGATTTTTAAAATTTAATGACCCTGTGAAAACTTTTCGCAAAGTTTAGTGACCATTTGGATAATTCACTTACATATAGGACCCATATAATATTCATAATTTGGGATACTATATTTTAAAGTATGAAAGAGATATAACATACAACGTATGACTATGCTTATCTCATAAATCTGAAGAGGATTTAATAAAATATGTAAGAAAGAACTTGAACCTTAAAACAACCGTTTATCAATTATGTGTGTAGTGTGGGACAATCACACACACACACACACTATGAAAATCATATAATTTAAATCAATCAATCATAATTATATACAATTACACATATATACTCATGTGATTGTAGTCATACTATAATTTAAATCAATCAATCAATTGTAATTATATATATAATTATATACATATAGAAGCACGTAATTATGGTAACTCTCTAATTTAAATCAATCAATCGTAATTATACACATATAGACGTACGTAATTGTAGTAATACTATTTTTAAAATCAGTCAACCATAATTATTTATAATCATATATATGGATGTACATAATTATAATGACACTATAATTTAAATCACTCAACCGTAATTGTATATAATTATACATACATAGATGCATGTAATTGTAGTAATACCATATTTGAAATCAATTAGCCATAATTATATAATTATACAAACATAGACACACGTAATTATAGCAATAACATAATTTAAATCAATAAATCATAATTATATATAATTACACACACACACACATAGAAATTTACTTAATTTCCAAAATCAATAATATTATATACATATATAGATGCACGTAATTATAATTATCCTAATTATATATATATATATAGACACACACACACATACATGTATCTCCTCTCTATTCAAGGATTTTACCTAAAGGTATCACCTTTGATTAGAGAGAAAAGATATACCCATTAAACTAGCAATCTATAATTATTTCGTTCGAAAATTGCCTTTCAACCAACTTAAATTCTAATGAAATCGAGCCTTCAACTCCTTCAATTTGGGATTTACGGTTCATATCGATTTGATTTGACTTATTTTTTTTTCCAGGTTTTGTGTTCAAGGCTTGTCAATATGATGGAGGTTTTGTGTTTCAAACGGATTTCAGGAATTCACACTTTCATTTTAATTTAGAGGTGTGTTTGGTGAGAATTGGAAGGAATGATGTGGCATTTAACTGCCATTTGTCAATTCCGTTATCCATGTTGGCAACGGTTAGTCACGGAATTAACTTGGTGAGTAACGGAGTACAAGGTGTAAAGTTGAGTGAATAATGAGGTGCAAGTTAAAGTATAATGAGTGAAATGTGAAGGTATCTAAAGTTCAGTGTGTGTTGAAACAATTAACTCCATTCTTATTATTAACCTTTCATCAATTAGCAAATCTTGTACTTGATGACAATTTTCATCCAATTATTGTACTTTAAAACGATGGACAAGTATTTAATCATAATTTTATTTTATTTTTATTTTTATTTTATTTTTTGCTTATTAAATACATAAGGAGTAAATAAATCTTTTTATTCCCTCTTAAATTTTTTTGATAGAAATAATTATAAAACGAACAAGATAAGAATCTTATGAAGACTCAAAATAAGAATACAATGAAAAAAAAGTTGGAAGCATTACTGTGACAATGACTAAATGTTACGAACATTTCATACAATTAAAATGTGGTGCACTTATAAAAATAAATGTAGTGTGAATATATATTCAATTAAACTACTTGTTGACAAAAATGGTTGACAAAGTGTGTTGGCAAAATAAAGGCCAATAAATTTTGTTGCTTTCAAAAACTGTTTTTGAATTAAGTGGTCTTAATTTTGCCAACAACCACTTTGTCAACCTTTTTGGTAAACCTATTTTGTAAGCATAGCATCACTTATATATATTTTGCCAATTTGAAAATATGTCGAGAGCACCTCAAATTTTTTAACGACTAAATTGAAATGCATAATTTAGACTTCATAAAATTACTGTTGCACATAAATTTAGATGGATTATGTTGTTGGAGATCGACTGTGCACCTATATAGGAATCAATTTGTTCATGTTTAAAGGTTTTGAACTAACTTGTTAATGAAACAATATGTTTGGGACCAGCAGTATAAATTTTTGAAATACTCGTCCTATAAATTTGCCACACGGGGCATTTGGAAGGTGACACATAGAATATCAAGTTTCTGTAATCATCTACATTTCTGTCAGCTTTGCTTTCTGAAAACTACTCTGGCCGCCGACGCCTATTCTGCCGCTGCCGCCGCCACTACCTCAGCAAGAATAAGAAGAACAAGCAATTATTAGAAAAACATAAAAAAAGCATAACCATCTTCAAATTTCTTGAAAGAAAAATGGAGTTAAAAACAGTTGAAGGAGTGATGGAAAGTTTCCTCCGCCAGTGTGGTGGTTACGCCGTCATCGACGGTGGCCTTGCGACGGAGCTCGAGAGGCATGGTGCTAAACTCAATGACCCTCTATGGAGCGCCAAGTGCCTCATTAGCTCACCTCACCTAATTAGAAGCGTACCCTCTATAGCACTTCTATAATTTTATTTATATCTACACACTATAAGTTTTTATTTTGTTAATACTTTTCTTTGGTGTATATGTGAGATTTTCTGATAATTTAATTTCTTCTGACAAGTCTTAATTAAATTTTAGTGTATCATTTTCCGTCTTTGATGCCGGTACTAGCTAGCTGCTCCTACGTTTGGCTGCATCTATATACTTTTCGTTTGATTGAACCAAACAGAGAGGAGAAAATTCGAACACCAAAATTAGAATATATAAACTTCTCTTTGATTCCGATTGACTGGATTTGAAAGGAAGATCTTGTTGTTAGAACCATTGTGGCAAGGAGAAGTTTGATCAAGAGGAAGAAGAAGAGGCATAAAATGGATTAAAGGATATATAAAATCTCTTTCGTGGCATTAATTTTAAGTTGAAATGATAATTATCTTGGCGCAATTTATTTATTTATTTATTATTTTATTTTTTTTCTGGGCGCCNNNTTTTGGGGGGGGGGGGGGGGGGGGGGGGGGGGGGGGGTTGACATTACCATACATATATACACATGGATTGATCTGTTTTTGAAGCAATATTCATGTGAAATTTCTTCGCTTGCTTAAACTTTTGGTGTATAATTAATAAACATTAACAAAGTGCAATCTTGTGTAAGTGTCAAATTTGATGTACTTAATTCAGGGATTATTATTGTTACTTGATTAAGTGTAACAAATTCATTTAAGATATAAATGAAGCGTTTTAATCCTGGGACTGCCGGAATTCTTAGCTTAATTCAAAATATAACCTACCAAGTATAGAAAGTTGATCAACATCCTTCCTTTATACAGGTTCATCTCGACTACCTTGAAGCTGGTGCAAATATCATTATATCTTCATCTTATCAGGTATTTGATATTTTCCCGTCTACCATAATCGAAGTCTAAGCGATAAAAGGCAGAATTAACCAGTAATCAGTTGTTAAAATATCATTTTTTGTGGCACGAGGCAGGCTACTCTTCAGGGGTTTGAATCTAAGGGATTGTCAAGAGTAGAAGGGGAAAATTTACTCAGAAAAAGTGTTGAAATAGCACGTGAAGCACGAGATATGTATTATGACAGAGCTGCCAAAGGTTCCCGGGATACTTTTGGAGACAAAGATGAAATAATCCCGAGAAAACGTCCAGTTCTGGTTGCTGCATCTGTGGGTAGCTATGGAGCTTATTTGGCTGATGGTTCTGAATATAGGTTTGTTAAATGAACAATTCTTGCCATAAGGCAATCCAATGGTTGTTGAATCACAAATGACTAGTTTCAGTTTTTGGAAGCTTTAACTATTATTATTATTTTACTTTTACAGTGGAGTTTATGGAAAAAATGTCAGTTTGGAGACTCTGAAAGATTTTCACCGGAGAAGGGTCCAAGTATTAGCTGATTCTGGTGCTGATTTGATTGCATTTGAGACTATTCCGAATAAACTGGAAGCTAAGGTATTTTTGTTGCTGATTTTAACCATATTTTTCATAGGCACTTAATTTTTCATTATTAGGATCAACGGCAAAATTTGTGGCATTTTAAAATATATCTCAATCATTTTGTTAATCACATTGGTCTCTCTCATTCTCGTTTTAAGTGTTATTGTTTTCTTGTTTTACAAGTGCAAGATTTCTACTTATTCTGATACTATGTTAAACCACCCCGATCCCCATCTAAAAACTTGTGTTCTCAGAGAGCGATGAACTTATTTATTTAATTATGCTTTCAACCTTATGAACGATGTTTTATGACCTTAGGCCTAAATGCTAGATGCAGTCATTAATGCATAATAATAGTGGAATTAGGTGGGTTTTCATACACTAAGAATGTCGAAATCAGTATTTGTAAAGATTTGTGACGTCTTTTAGTACTCCAATGTGATGTAGGCATATGCTGAGCTTCTCGAGGAAGAGGCCATTAACATTCCAGCTTGGTTTTCCTTTAATTCCAAGGATGGAACCAATGTCGTCAGTGGGGATCCCATTGCAGAATGTGCCTTAATAGCTCATTCGTGTGAGCAAGTCATCGGAGTTGGGATCAATTGTACGCCACCACGATACATTCAAGGACTTATTCTCTCTATTGGAAGGGTACATATTCTGTGTACTTTGATGATCATTAAGTTTAAAACAACTACCATTTCTAAAACTTGCGCTTTCATGGTAAACTTTCTTCAGGTAACTACTAAGCCAATTCTCATATATCCAAACAGCGGTGAGACTTACGATGCTGATAGAAAGGAGTGGCTGGTTAGTTGACTTTCATCTGATGATAAACTTCTTATACTTTCCTTACTTAATGTCGAGATCCTGAATTTTTGGTGCATAATTATACGACTTGGAACATTACTTTTACCTGCATATTTGTTAAAACAGGAAATGAATTTTACACTATCTTGATAATCAATTACGATTTCACTGTTGCAGCCATCGAATGGAGTTTCAGATGTAGATTTTGTGTCGTACGTGGGCAAATGGTGTGAAGCTGGGGCTTCTCTTGTTGGAGGTTGCTGCAGGACAACCCCAAATACCATCAGAGCTATTTCTAAGGCTCTCTCGTCCCGGTCCAATGGGAGTTTCCCATAGACTCAAAAGACTTGTGAGAGGAGGAAAAAAATGTGGGAAATATTTTTCCATGCTTTTGTATGAACTGGTGCTAAAATAAATTTAAGTTTGTTCAGTTTACTAGTTTTTCCAATAAATTCTAGGGATAATTCTCAATCATCCTTCGAGACAGGTTATCAAAGATCATAGACTTCGATGGAGGATTCACTTTAAAGGGATGTAACAAAGTAACATAAGGTACTAACATTGAGTAACATCAGTTTTCCCATATCATTTATTTCTTTTGAAATTTCGACCGAGCCAGAACTATCCCACATTCACACTACCAAAAATTATAAAAAGTGTACAGATTGAAAATAATCTTAACTAATAGTAAAACAAATAACTTAAAATAAGGAATTAATCCCACAAAATAAAAGAGCGCAATGACTGATTTGACAACGAACAAGAACAGAAAGAGGGTTCAAGAAGAGAATAATTGAAGGTAAAGGAAATCAATGATTATTCATGTAATCAAGGGTTAAAATTATAATGAAATAAGCCATCTATCTATAGAGCAAATAATCTAAATCCAAAAGAACTTCTAATATGCTATAACAGACGGATCTTTTTGTTGGATCGAGAACTGTGGTGCACAGGGATAATTCTAGTGATTGATTTGAACAAGTAAAAGAAATTGATAACAATGGCTTGGGTTCTGCTCTATCAGATGCCGCTTCAGAGAATATTTCTGGGGAGTTTCTTGCTCCGATTGCCCAATAGTTTCTTGCTCCGATTGCCCAATTTGATTGGAATACTCTCTCTCTCTTTTTTAAAAAAAAAAAAACAGGTTTCTGAAATTTGTCCATGTTATTCACAAGTTTCATTTGTCAATTTGAAAATCCCTAGATACACGATATTAAACACTAAATACAATCAATCTACATCACAATAAAAAGTAAAAGGCAACTTATAAAAATACCCTTAAAATTAAAAGTCTTTTGAAAAATCATATGAAAAAATTTTTGGAAATAAAAATACTGATGTTTGTCACTAAAAAAATGTAATGGAAATTTCAAAACGACTGAAAAAAGTGAAAACTACTTTATAAAGTGGCAAAAATTAAAAAAAAAAAAGTGACGAGTTTTAAAAAGTGACACAAATTAAAAAAAGTTACACAAATTAAAAAAAAAAAGTGATACAAAATAAAAAAAAGTGACACAATATCACTTTTTTTTTTAAAAGTGACATAAACACTTAAAAAAAAAAAAGTGGCACAAACTCATAAAAATGACAAACACAAAAATAGTACCATCCATTGTGCAGCACTAGCAATCATATTCTTAACATAATTAGTATATTCAAGACAATCCACATGAGCTTAGTGGGGTTCTTAACATAATCAATATGTCCAGGACAATCCACACATTGATTAAGTTAGGGAAATATAACATATCATGTCACTTTTTATCTTATTAAATAAGTGACAAAAATTTAAAAGGTGATTAAAACTCAAAAAAAGTGACAAAATGTAAAAAAGTGACAATTTCACTTTGAAAGTTTACTGTCACTTTTTTTATTAAAAAATGATATATAATGTCACTTTTATTAAAATGTGATGTTTATCACTAAAAAAAATGATAGAAATTTCAAGAATGTGATTGATAAAAAATTGTCAAACAATAAAAAAAAATGACAAAAATTCAAAAAAGTGACAAATACTAAAAAAAACGACCAAAATTTAAAAAAGATCAAAGGTTGGATAGGTGTCAACGTCTAGTTAAATCATCTCAATATCAAAAACGTGTTTTGATAATACGTTTTTATTTTGAAAATTAGGGAGCACACCAAACCAGGTTTTGCTCTCAACATTCTCCACCTTGCTAGCTTAATTTTTAGGTTAGAGTGCATCAAGGAGCATACCACATTTTCATATTTCATTTGCTCTAAATACCTGCAAATATCACAAAGTATTAATAGATAATATATTCAAACAATGCTGAAATTTGTTTAGAGGTATTATCTTTATTTCCATATTTGAAGGGTTAAATTGAGTAGCAACTTTGCCAATCTTCAAAGTTCCTTTTATCTCTAATGAAATGATATTTAACGTCTACATGTTTAGTCCTATCATGATACATAGGATTTTTGCTCAAATGTATAGAATTTTGGTTATTAGAATACAAGATTGCATTTTTATCAACAAAATCAAGTTCTTTTAGCGGCCCACTTAACCATACCCCTTCTTTAAAGGCATCAAAAGTAGTAATATATTCTGCTTTAGTTGAGAACAAAGCTACAATCTTTTGAAGTTGAGATTTTCAAATGATTACAGTACCCCATAAGGTAAAGAAATAGGATAAAGATTTTCTATTATCCCTATTTCCAGCAAAATCAGAATTAGTAAAACCCTTTAAAGTTATCTATTCTTTATTCATTTTGAACTCAACAACATAGTTTGATATACCTTTTAGACATCTTAAAAGTCATTTTAAAACATTCCAATGTTCTTCCCCAGGGTTACTCATAAATCTACTAAGTATGTTAATACTAAAAGCAAAATCAGGTCTAATACATATCATCAAATATATGACAGATCCAATCACATTAGGTAAGGAATTTTTGACATTCTATCAAATTCCTCATTAGTTTTAGGACAGAATTTAGATGAAAGCTTAAAACAATTAGCAAGTGGCAGAGTTACAGGGTTGCAGTCAATCATGTTAAATTTTTTCAAAATTTTATCCACAGTCACATTGACTTAAAAAATAACATATCATTTTCTTTGTTTCTAAAAATATGCATTCAAGTATCTTTTTAGCAGTACCAAAATCCTTTATATCAAATTCAGATTTAATTTTTTGTTTTATATACTCAATTACAGATTTATCACAACTGACAATTGGCATATCATCCACATAAAGTACTAGGTAGAGGGAATTTTTACTTCCATTACCTCTAAAATAAAGACATATCATAGTTACTCCTTTGAAAACCAAGTTTCAAGATAAAAGCATAAAATCTTTTGTACCATTACTTGGGGCTTCTTTTTAAACCATATAGTAATTTCTTTAACAGACACAATATTTTAGAGTCACATTTTATGAACCAACGGGTTGCTTCATATAGATTTTTCATCTAAATCATCTTAAAGAAATGCTGTTTTGATATCTATTTGATCAAGTTCCTATTTAAATTGAGCAACAAAGGCTAAAATATATCTAATAGTGGTGTATTTGACAATAGGGGAGAAAATTTCATTATAGTATACACCCTTCTTTTATGTAAAACCTTTTGTTACAAGTCTATCCTTATATTTCACATTTTTGTTTCCCCATTTCTCTTCTTTTATTTTGCAAATCCACTTACAATCAATCAGTTTATGATTTTTTGGCCTTTCAATCAAATCCTAAGTTTTGTTTTTAAGGAGTGAAGACATTTCATCTTTCATAGCAGCTATCCAATTTTTAGCATCTTTAATATTAATGGCATCCTCATAGGAGTTTGACTAATTTTCAAGTTTTTCTTAATATGTAAATAATGAGACAAAATCATCATAATCAAATTTAGCAGGTGGTCTAATCTGCCTTTTCCTATCTTTTGTGAGTTGATATTTATTAAAGGGAGGAGTTGCAGGATCAGGTTGATCATTAAAATCAATGACTTATTATTTTCAATTCCAATTGAGGTGATATTTTCATCAAAACTAGTTTCAGCCATAGTAAGAACACGAGTATTTCTCTCACTATGAGGAGTTTCCACCTCAATTTGAATATCCTTTTCAGTCAAGTTATTTTCTTTTCCTTCTAAACATGGCATAATAGACTCGTTAAAAATGACATCTCTTCTAACAATTATCTTATAGCCTTTTTCACTGTTAACACATAATCTGTAGCCTTTGACGTTTTCACCATAACTCAAGAAGGCACATTTAAGTGATCTAGGTTCAAATTTTCCAATAATTTGGTAAGCATATGCAGCAAAGTCAAATATTTTTAGGTGAGAATAATCAACAAGATTTTTAGACCATACAGATTTAGGAACATAAAAGTTTAGGGCACTAGTGGGAGTTCTATTCTATTAACAAGATATGCAGCAGTTCTTAAGCTTCATCCCTAAATAATCTAAGTCAAACCTGAACTCCAAAGCATGCATCTTACCTTGTTTAATAAAGTTTTATTCATTCTCTCAGCTATGTCATTTTGTTGAGGGGTATAGGTAACTGTTCTATGTCTTAATGTGCCACACTTTTTACAGAAATTATTGAATTGATAATTACAAAATTTCAAATCATTATAAGTTCTCAAAACCTTTATCTTATGATTAGTTTGATTTTCAATTTGTGTTTTTCAATCTTTGAAAACAGTAAAAGTTTCATCTTTTCACTTTAAGAAGGAAACCCATATTTTCCTTTAGAAATAATCAATGATCAATAGATAATATTTAAAATCAGACAGAGTGTACACAAAAATAGGACCGCACAAATCAACATGCAAATACTCAATTATTTGTTTGGATTTATGAATTCCAGGTAAGAAAGGAAGTTTGACTTGTTTACCTATCGCACATTGTTCATAAGGCCAATATTACCAAGGTTTTGGTTTCTAATAATTCCTTTATTTTGTAAGCTTTTAGACTCTTCTTCCCAATGTGGCCAAGTCTCATATGTCATAATTTTGTAAAAGTAAAGTTTTTAGTCCAGGCAGTTGCAGTCAAACCAAGTAAAATTTTTGCTTTAAGAAAATAGAGACTATGTCTCTTAGGGGTACTAATGATTAAGTCACTGCCCCTAAGAATTTTTATGTGTCGTTGACCCAGTTTAATGTCAAACTCTATATCATCTAACATGCTTAGAGACGCCAGATTCTTTTCTAAGTCTGGAACATATCTAGTTCCTTTCAAACTTAGGACATTACCATTTTCAAGTAACATTTTTATAGTTTCCATTTCACTTACTTTACAAGTCATATTATCGCCCATTATAACTTGTCTACCATTTGTTTCTTCAAATTCAAGAAAACAATTCTTATTCGGGCACATGCGAAAAGAACACCCTGAGTTAATGTTTCATTCATCACTTAACTTTTTTTCAGCATTAACAAGGACCAACCTATCTTCTATCTTATCATTATTGTATACTAAGGCAGCATTTCTATCATCAAATTCTTTTTCTTTTGATTCATTTTCCTTTTTAAATTTTTTTTTTTTAATAAAATGATCATGTTTTCACAATAGAAACATTTCTTATCCTTACCCTCGTTTTTGGACTTACTCTTATCACTTCATTTGTTTTTATTTTCATTATATGTCTTACCATTGTGATTCTCCTTAGTTTCAGATTTAACTTCAACAGCTTTATTCCTTAGGGCATTTATAATTACATCAGTAGTAAGTTCCACCCTCCCATATTCTAAATCAACCTTGTGTCTCTATATCTGTCACTAATGGAGTTCAATAAGACTACAGATAGCTGATCTTTTGAAAGTTTTTCATCACAATTGGCTAAGTCTTGGGTCAATTTTATAAACCTATTCAAGTTGTCATCCAAATCAATTAAGGGATCCATTTTAAAAGAAATGAGCTGTTTTAACAAATAACATTTGTTTGAGATATTCTTAGTTACATATTGAGTTTCAAGTTTAGTCCAAAGTTCAAAAGCAGTTTTGGTTTCATCAATAGTTCTTATCACATTATCAGATAAGTACAAGAAAATAATGCTCTAGGCAACCTCTTCAAGTTCAATTTTCTTTGCAAGAAGCATGTCAAGAGGCCAATTATTAGCTATGGCCTAACACATCTAATTTGCATCAAGATAGCTTTCATCTTTTGACTCCACATATTAAAATCACATTTTCCATCAAATTGTGCAACTTCAAACTTAGCTAAAACCATTTTATTATAGTACAAGATGCACAGGTATGAGTCAAGAAGACACAACACAATAAAAAGGATCACAAATAAGTTTCAATCACGTATCTCAGTATACACTTAACAGTACAAAATTACACAAGTTTTAACATAGAAAAACCATGTAGAAAAAAAAAAGAACACAATATTAGTGATAACATAAATTATGTTTCAAAGATTTCTCCTTCAAGATCCTCCATGTACACACTCGTACTGGATTTATCTCATATTCCTAAGGCCTCATATGAGCCTTTGGACAAAGATTTGTTTCCAAGGGGCCTCAGTATATGGTAAATCAAGGGAAAAATCAAGAAACCCTATATTTTGAAAAGAAAACTTCACAAAAATTAAAAGATGTTACCTACCAAGTTTATAAGAACTCGACGTCCTTCAGTCATGCATAATATCCATTCCAAAAATTAGATCTGCCTCAGTTTAGCATCTTTCATCCAAGATCTAGGTATCTTGTTCTGAGCTCAAGCTCTGATAACACTGAAAAGGGCCTATATACATGATATTAAACACAAGATACAATCAATATATATCATAATAGAAAGTAAAACTTGCAAAAATGAAAGATTGAGCAGAGAGAAATTTTTGGTCAAAATCCCAAAGGTTCGATGACCCTTTTAACATCTAATCTCCTGTTGAGCATCCATTAAAATTGATATAGCTTGATTGCACAATAAAGCCTCAAAATTGGCAAAAAAGTTACAAAGTTAAACCAATATGTATGGTTTTCAGAGACTTATCTCTATCAAAAAACATTAACAGATTTGACAAGAATCACATAAAAAACCTTAAATCGCTTCTTTGAAATACAGAACTTTCTCTCTCTAAAGCCAAACGAAGAATACCACCCCCGTAAAATGAATCGGCAACTCAAGGATATAATCACAACGTTTAATGTGCCCAATCAAATGGTCGAGGCCTGGACAGGTGTCACCATCCAATTAAATCATTCCACTATCAAAAACGTATTTCGATAATATATTTTTTACTTTAAAAATTAGAGAGCACACCAAATTAGGTTCGTTTCTCAACACAATTTTTTGATTTTATATGCTTTTTCCTAGAATATTTTTCTACATTTGCAAAAACTCATGTATTTGAAGAATGAATTGCCACTTATATTTATAGACCTACACGAGTAGTGGTATTATGGTGGTGATGCAGGGGGTTGTATATAATGGTAATGCCGTGGTGGTGGTGGTGTGAGTGGTTGCATGTGGTGGTGAGGGTGGATGTACAAATCCGCATAATGGTTGTGCGATCGAGGTACAGACCTGTGTAGTGCTGGTGATGAGGTGATAATAGTGTTTGTTGATGATACCGATGGTTATGAGGCAAAATGGGTTGGATGAAGAGCAATTGTGATTAATAAAACAAATAAATTGAGTTAAAATATATACATACATACATACATATGTGTGTGTGTGTGTGAGAGATATAAAATGTGTGATTTCTGGTTAAATTAGTAATTGTCACCTATAATTTGTGTCTTTGTAACTAATGAATAAGTTGTGACTATTTAATCTGATTATTTGTGACTAATTAATCTGATAATTTATGATCGAGAAATAAGTTGTGATTAATTAATTTGATAATTTATGATTGAGAAATAACTTGTGACCGATTAATTAGATAAATTGTGTTCGTGAAATAAGTTGTGATCAATAAATAAATTGTAACTTATAAAATTTATGATTTATGACTATAATATTATGTGATTGTGACTAGTATATAAGTGTGACCATAAATTATATGACATTATGATCTTGATATATTTAATTACCTATTTAATAAATAAAATATATTTAATTATTAATTTATTTATTGCCACATGTTTTTTGAAATGAAATTGTAACCAATTTCTTGATTTAAGGTAGAATCTTTTTTTAAATGTGTTTAATTATTTAACATTTATATATTATATAATTTAATAAATATCTTATTATGACCTGATTTTGAAAAAAAAATCTTAAGTTTATCAAAATTTAAAATGTATCTTTAAATCAATGTAGTTATGTATTTTTTTTCCTTCTTTTAAAATAAAATGCATTTGTTGGAAATGGTCTTATTCGGCAATTCAGGATAGTCCTCGATCTAGGGATTGATATTTGGGTCTGCATTGGCTTGTCAGTTTATTAGACCGATCATAGTTGATTTGCCAAAGTGGAAATTATACCCACACATGGTTTTTAACTTTCCAATTCAAAAATAAGATTTTAAAGTTTTTTATTCAAAATTCAAATGATAATTTATCTTTTAAAATATTAATAATAATTTTATAGAATTAAATTAATTCACCCCCACCTTTTTCCCAACCTCGTCTCTACTCAATTTTGCACCAAAACCTAAAATTCACTTTTCACTCCATTCTTTCCCTCTCCCACGTTCTCTTCTCACTCTCTACCTACACCACCCACACCCTCATCCAGTACCGCACTCATCTCTCCTCTCCACATCAAAACTACCATCTCCATTTGTAATGATGCTTCCCTGTTAGACCATTGCTGCGTGAGGCGACGCTACTGTTGCCCCGAAATGGCGCAGCACCGCGTCGCTCGTAATGCTGATGCGCCTACTGCGGGAAGTGGTGCCTTGCTTGCATGCAGCGAGGCAACGCTGCTGTTGCTCGTTTCTTGGATAGCTTTATTCCACAGGTGGTGCATTGTCGTGGTGGTGGCCGCACGTTTATGGGTGGCTTCATCCTATAACTATTTGCAATGAATTGCGATGGTGATGGCAGTGCGTTTGTGTTGGTTTGCATCTATGGTGGTGGGGTGAGTTTTTGTTATGTTGTTGGGCTGTGTTGGTGGTGGTTGTGGAGGTTAGGGGCGGATCCATGATTGAATCTACGACCGGGCTACAAAATTTCAAATCGGGCTACTATACCGAAAAAAAAAATTTACACATAAAAAACTGATTTTTTACCCAAAAAAAAAAATAAAAAATACTTTAAAAAAAAAGCTATTGGACTTGGAAGGGGGGGCTACAGCCCAGCCCCCCTAAATCCGCCTCTGGTGGAGGTAGTGATGGTTCAAGCGATGGAGGTGAGATGTTGGTGTTAGCGGTGGTCACGAGTGGTTTTGAGGTAGTTTTTTGTGGTGTTGATGGTCACATGTGCACACAACACTCACGATCTGGTGTTGGGTGTTTGGTGGTTGCTGTGGTAGTGGTTTTGCACGATCTAGTGAAGGTGATGGTGATGTTGGTGGTGGTCGTGTGATGGCCATGAGTGAATGGGATGGTATGGGTATTGATAGAATGGGGGTATTTTTGACCAATAAATTGGTTGGTTGTGACTAATAAATAATATGTGATCTAAAAAATATGATCGTAACTAACAATTTATTAAGTTTTGCTTGAGAAATTCTTGTGACCAATTAATTTTGATAATTCGTGACTAATAGGTAAGTGGTAACCTATAAAATTTTGATTTTGTGATCGAGAAATAAATTGCGACTTTTAAAATTTTTTATTTGTGCTCGAGAAATCATTCATGGCATATTAAATTTTTGATTTGTGACCTAAAAATAATTTGTAACCTATAAATTTTTTTATTTGTAACCAAAAAATAATTTGTAATCAATGAATTCAATAATTTGTGACCAAATTATATATGCTTGTGACTTTAATAAATTTAATTAATAAAATATTTTTAATTAATTATTTCATAAATAAAATTAAATAATATTTAATTTTTGAAAATTTAAACTTTATTTCTTAATTTTGAAATAGGTCATAGTTAAACTCTTGGAAATGAATTTTTCGCTGTGCTAAATCAGAGGACTCGTTTGAAACATAAAGGTGCAACTAGCCCATTAACATTGGTCAGTCCTGGACTATGGATTAATATTTGGGCTGGTTCGACCCATCAACCACCCAATTTTGCAGGCCAATTCGAATCAACATGTCATATTAGAAGATAGGTATAAACTTCGGACGGAAAATTGGAATGAACTAGTCTAGATCCAAGGTTAATGCTAAGGGCCTGTTTCATAGGCTAGTTTTTCAAGGAATTGTAACGAATCAGTTGATTTGGATATTTTCTATTTCCACTTTAAAATGCATGTTTGGTGGCAAAAAATTTCCATAGAATTAGTTTTCTTAATACAATCTTTTTATGCACAATTTTCCACCTTTTTAAGGAAAATGTCTTCCCATGGGTTAGGTGATTTTTCGTTTTCCAATTTTTTTTTTCTTATTTTTTTTTCTTTTTATTTTTACAATTGATACAAATTCTATTCCCAATTATAACAAATTTTATCCCTTTAATTGTCAATTTTCATGAAAATCAAAGTCAAACGAATACCAAAAGATCCAAAATTTCAATATTTTTTAAATGAAAAATTATATCAATTAAACACATTTAATTTACAGTTCCTAATAAAATAAGTTCTAGACAATTCAATTCCTGAAATTCGTTTTCTTTTCACCCAAATTTCATTCTTTCAATTAAACGAACCCTAAGAATAAAGTTGTTTGTACAGATACAAATTATATAAAGCATTGCAGATGATAAAATGACAACACTGCATTGGTTGATTTAACTTTGTCATGTGTTCAACATTCAATGAATGCTTAATACTCGATAATTTGTTTAAAAAAAAAAAAAAAAAAAAAAAAAAAAAAAAAAAAAAAAAATTCTTAA